TTGATAATTGAAATGCCTTGTACGTGAGGTGACAAGTGCGTACTTGTGCTAATTGTTGAAAATTGTGTTTTCATTAAGTAATCACTATTATGTTTCATTTCCTGTGTTTTATTACTTGTACTATTAAGTCTGTTGTTAGCTTAGGAAAGCATGTCTAAGTGACTTAATTGCTTTATTTGCTCAATCTGCCTTACTTGAATTTTGTGCAACATGCTAGGCTAGAATCACTTGTTGCCTTAATATGAAATTTTTCCATTTCTGTATATTTTCTTGTTGCTGTTGTATATTTATTTTGGGATTACGGATGTGGGATTCCGGTAGCTCCCCCTTGTCTGTTTATTTTGGGACTATGGATGTGGGATTCCGGTAGATCCCCCTACACAGTTATATGGAACTACGGGAATGCATCCGGTAGATTTCCCCAGTACTGGGTATTTACATTTGGGACTACGGAACGGGATTCCGGTAGATCCCCGTGCACTATGAGTTAGACTACGGGATGGGATCTCGGGAGATCCATTAGATATGTACATATGGGACTACAGGACAGTATCCTGGGAGACCCCCAGTTGTTATTTTGGTGTTAAGTCGCATTTCTTTCCGTGTTTTGCCTTGTCTCTGTAATAATTGTTGTTGCCCTTTTTATATCCTGTGTTACTTTTACCGCTGTATTTATTTATATTGTTCTGTTCTACACTATCAAACTTTATATTTTATTTAACCTCAGTAGGGCCCTGACTTTTCTCGTCACTACCCGACCGAGGTTAGGCTTGGCACTTACTGAGTACCGTTGTGGTATACTTATGCCCCTTCTGCGCATGTTTTTCATGTGCAGATCCAGGTACTGCGACTTAGTCCTATCACCCTTGAGGTGAGGCGACTGCTCCATCGACTTCGAGGTATATCTGCCGCCTCCGCAGACCAAGGAGTCCCTTTCTATTCTAGCTTTTGAACATTTGCCCTTCTGTATTTCTTTCCCTTGTTAGATATTCTGGAGTTAGACATTGTAGATATCCAAAGGCTTGTGGTTCCGTGAGTTTTCGGGTTTTGGGATAGTGTACTTGATTCTGAGAATGTTGTGTTGTAGATGTCGAGTGGCATTTTAACTATTGTTTTCATTCGATTATTTTGGCTTTTGATTATTTCTTCCGCAAGTTTCGTTTATGTTTCGCATTTGTTAGGCTTACCTAGTCATAGACTAGGTGCCATCACGACAGTTTACGGAGGACGAACTGGGGTCGTGACAGGGTTGAGATTGGTTTTTATTGAATTGTACCGAACGTTTTGAGTTTGAAGAAACTTACTTGAATTTGCATCGAACATATTTACCTGGATATGTTGAGCATGTGTATTTTGTTGTTGGCTATTTGACGCAGTTCCATTTTTGTCATTTGATTTTGCATGTCCTTGCTTTTTCCTTCGTGGGAAGGTGACAGTTTTCCACTCATTTTCTTCCCTTAGTTCCACAGTTTTTCCGGAAGTTTCTGGTGCTTCTGGTGGGGCTGTGGGTTGAGGTTTTCGGTCGTTGCATCCCTTTGAGATGTGACCAATTCTGCCACAAGACGTGCAAAGCGTCCCTTCCCCTTCATAGATCACTGCTTGTTTGTGATCTCCAATTATGACTGAGGTTTCCACCGAGGTTTCAAGGGGAACTTGAATGCATATGCGAGCGTATCTTCCCCTGAGGGTGGAGGAGGTGCATTGGTCAATTTTCAACAATTTGCCCAGCTTTCTTCCCACTTTTTCTAGAATTTCTTTATCGTAGAACTCTGTTGGCAGTTGTGAGAGGCGAATCCAAATGGCAGTGGATGAGAGAGTGGCCTCTTGTAGGACAAACTTAGGTTCCCATTTCCGTACTGATAGGAAGTTTCCTGAGATGAACCATGGTCCTAGGTGTAGTGCCTTTACCATATTTTCCTCTAAGCTGAATTTGGCTATGAAGAAGTCTCATCCTAGGTCAATTAAGATTAACTGTTCGGATGGTTTCCATATTTCAATCAGTTTAGAGCGAAGATAGTGGTGGGGCATTCTACGTCTAAAGGCCTTAATGATTACAGAGTAGCGCCATGGGAGATAGAGTCGTTGTTTATCATCATGAGAGAGAGGGATTGAACCTTCAACGCTTTTTCCTTTATCATTCTCTGCATTTGTGGGAACGTCGTCCTCGTAATATTCGTTTTGTTGGCTTGCCAGTTTGTCCAATAGCATTTCCTTATATCATGCAGACACTTTATATCTTATATTAAATCCATATATATTCTTGGTTTTAATTTGTACTTTACGCTGTTAATCAACTTACTATCCATTAGCCAGCCTTACACTGAGATTTTCTTAATTCTACTTTTATTGCTCGACACCATGAACGCAATCCGATATATAGGTGGTCAAACTTTTTTTGTAACACAAAAAGCTTACTTATATAAAAACAAAAAATCAATTTAAGTTTCTTAATAAATCGATGACGTCGTAATAAGAACACTATTTTGGAACAGATGGACAACATATTCAAATAAGTACTGTATGCTCAGGGACAATTCTAAGACAGTCACATGAATTTATGACATTATGACAAACAAACAGGTTGTTGTAACTATAATATTGTGTAATTATTAGATTATGTAATTGTAATTACACCAATTCCAATTACCCGATGGCTTTCCAAACATACCCTTAAAGGATTCTCAACAACAAAGAGGATTGATATTAAGTAGGAAATTCATAAATCTCCATCTTTAAGCAGAAGTGATCTCAGTACCCCACCAAGAGGACTTCACAACAGGAACATTGTCACACCAACAGAGCAAAAAAATATTTGTCACCATGATGCAGGATACCGGAAATATTAGAGGCTAGTTACATCAATTAAATCCAGTCACACTTGTCTTCCACCCAAAGTAAGCTGGGTAAAAAGGCATCTCGCGTTCACACAGGCGCCTGAACCTAAGGGGCGTGATATAAACAACCTACTCTAATGCAAGCATTAGTGGTTGTCCATGGGTAAGAGAAAAGAAAAATGGAGAAAACAATATAGGCCTAAATTGTCTGTCCAAAAAGTGAAGTTTTACTGTCTAAATGAGGGAGGAAGAGAGAGTAGTTACATGATCAACTTAATGCAGAAAGTCATCGATCTGGTTTCATTTGCATCTATCTTCTCACTGTACATTGAACAAGCTAAGTGCAGAAGAGATATAAAGATGTCACTGAACAAAGAGTATACATCTTTTATTGGGACTTGCATCTCAAACAACATTCTTCTGAGCTTATTGGTAAGACAAGAAAGGTTGCTGATATATCTCACTCTAGAATTTGTGGTGTATATTGTTCAATCAATCAACTACACCTCAACTATAAACTATTTGAGTCGGTTATATGAATCGTCTAAGTAGTTTAACAAATACTGCCCATCAAAAATTGAAGTAATCCGCATTAGCACAATCTCAATTTGAAAAGTAAGAGAAATATATATATATCAGCTATATGACAGAGGAACGAAGAGCAAACACAGTAAAATACAGCTATAGATTTCCCTATTCTATACTTGAATGACCATCTTCCATTTCCACATTGAAGCTCCCTTCAATAATGCCACGGAGATACTCTAACTGCTCAAACCCTCCTTGGAGCTCTTCCCACTGCAAAGTAGAATCAACAAGAACCACTCAGTCAATTTATCCTTTGCCTTTGTTATGTCTATGCTCAAAAAGATGTCCTTTCATACTTGAGTATGAGTCTATGACCTATCTTAACAAATTGTTAATATAAAGTGAGAAAGGAGGTAAATACAGTGTCAGACCAACATCTAATTATTGAAGCTGCTCCGGATAGTTTTCCTCATTGGATTGAATTGCTCTACTGTCATAATAACACCTAGAGAGCTATTCATTAATCGAAACAGCTCTCACGAGAAGAGAATGATTTAACAACTCATTTCCTCTCCCTCCAAAAATAGCTGTGAAGAAAATTTGTTTCTTAAGTTGGCCATAACATCCGGAACTTCTGGGGAGCAACTTGCCAAGGGCCCACATGCAACTTCACATGGTTTGGCACTTGGCAAATGGAACTTTTGGTAATGGTTCATAGGAAGCCCATGGTATTTTTTCAAAAATCATTTTAGGAAGTCCATGGTTACTCACCCTTCAAAATAGGTCAGGCTCTTGCCTCATGAATGAATGAGGAGAATCAGGGGATAAGCTGGGGGAATAGACATGGAGGTTTGCTATCACTTGGTTTGCTCATTTTTCGAAGATAGAGGGGGTGAGGTATAATGCTAAACCCAGACCCTTCCTCCCTGCAAGCATTGTTTGTATCACACATATCATCAATCTGTCTGTCTATCTATTTTTCTTTGACATTTAGTTGCTCGTTAAGTAAGTGATGAATGAGGGAGGAAAATATCAAATACAGGAGAGAACGTGAACCTAATGTTGGGTGGAAATTCTTCAGTATTTCCCATGTGGCCACCAGTTTTCTCCCTTTTTTTTAGGCAGGAAGGGAAGGTAAGAAGTAGTTAATTAACTTAAGATATTAAGATAAGAATGCCTTAACCTCAATGAAATATAACTTATCAAAAATGAAAATATGCCAAAACACTCACTTCCTGATGAGGGACAGATATGAGCCTCCAACCAGCAGCAGTGATATATCTGCGTTTTAGCATTGTATGTCCCAAGGGGATTCCTGCAAGGAGGTACTAATGTCATCACCAATTTGAGAAAATGTTACCTTCTAATTTTTGGGAGACTTATGAATAATGATACTAACAGGTCTGCAGATGATAATAAATTAATAAGCACCTGAGTTCCTTGAGAAATGAGTAGGACCGTCTATCTCAAGAGCAACTCTTCTGTCAACAACGACTGCGTCCAGAGTATAACCATCCACCGCATATTCTCTTACCCAATCTAGTCCAGTGCTGACAAGAAGGCGAGCAACCTCCTTCTGAAATGAGGAAGTAACCTTCTGATTGAACCGTTTTGTCCTTCCAGCATTGCAAATTTTCTCCTCCAGTTCACCTTTAAGGCATAAGTCAAGATGCGCATACTCTAGCTTGAGACATTGGTTCACAAGATGAACTTGGGAAGCAAACATAATGTCTTCTCTATACTGCTCGGATATTCGTTGCTCCTCAAAATAGCTGAGAGTATTCCATACATTAGCAAAGAAAACTCGATTCATCTGCCCAAGAACAGCATAAGACCATGATATATTACCAAGCTGATCCCTATTAAACATTAGCACGGGATAGTTAATAGCTCCAGACTCAACATCTGCAATACCATCTGCTGTCCTTTCTTTAATATAAGGTAGTTTACCATCACTCAAGCTGCATTTGAATTGACTGACATGACTAAAAACATTATCAAGAGAATCGAGCATGGGACCAGCTTGCTCATTCAGAGAAGCAAAAGCCCACAAGACTTGAGCAATCTCTTGAGGCTGAAAAGTATGGATTATGCCTGAGGCCGTTCTTGCTAACCCCGAAAATAGTTCTGGAGCAGAATGCTGCATTGAAGCAAAAGCCCCAGCTACATTAGCAACATTTTGTGTATTGAACTCATCAACCTTAGTCAATGCCACTTCTGCCACTCTATCCATTTCTGTCAAATAGAGAAGCTCACCGCCAATCTTTGACAGCGCCCACGCAATATTTGAAACACCTTGTGCCGAGCACTCAGGCAAAGCAGTCATAGCAATGCCAACAAGCATACACATCTCTCTCCGGCGAGCAAATGCCAACCTTCTACTCCTAACCATTGAAACTTTCTCCATGTTCTTCGCTATTCTATGCAGAGCTGTGGCTATATTTAATGGAGAAAGAGGCGAAGGGCTAAGCCCTTTTGCAACAGCTGAGACCGTCTCAGCAGTAACTTCCAACACCTCCTCAGCCGTCATTGCTTCAACAATTGCTTTATTCAAGCTAATTTCTTTCTTACGGTCTGATGGTCCTGCAAACTCAGATAGCCTTTGGACAAACGTTTCCATGGTTTTAGCTTTCTGTTCCTCAAACATACCATCAGCAAACATACTAACTGTCCTCTTAAGGTGACTTGCATTGCCTAGAGGAATTTCAGCATCCAAATCAAGATCTTCATCATCCGAGTCTAATTCAGAGTCTTCATCAATTTCTTCATCCGGGTTTCGCTTATCAACCTTGGACTTTATTTTCTTCTTCTTTTTTTTGGTCTTTTTATTACCACTAACCATACTCTTTATAACAGGGGTCAATCCTCTAGCTTCAATAGACTTGAGAGCAACTTTTCTAGCATTCATACACCAGTCCATTGTTTCAGTATCCTTGAGCAATCTAGAGTTTATCTTTTTTTTCTTCTTCTTCTCAGGCAAAACATCTTCAGATGGGTCAATCTTTCCAAGGAACTTTGCTTCCCAGTCCACATTGACCGGGTTTTCCTCATTTTTACTATCACTAGAACCATCAGCACTACCATCATCTTTTTCTTCTTCTTGTTTATTATCAATTAATATTTTATTCCCTAATGAATTGGGAGCTAAACGACAAGTCTTGTGGAATAGAATATGAAACTTGGAGGATAATTTAATTCCTGGATTACTAGTTAAAAATGAAGTCTTTGCAGGATCAAAGAGCAAGAAATTGTTCATTGTGGTATGGGAAGGAGGTCTTTGGAAGCTAGGAAATGTGTTTACAGAAGCTGCTTCCATGATAATTGTTATGCTAATTACCACACCGTCAAAATTTCTTAGAGCAAATTATCAAATAAAAAGTGCAAAACCATCAAAAATAGTATGAACAAACAAAGCAAGAATCTTACTCAACCAAGAATTGGGGCTGGGGTTTAGACTCCAAATGTGGAGAGAGAGAGAGGAACCTACAGATTCATTTCAGGGGAGAGTTGGAAGCTATGGAAGAGTGGTGGTGGTGCTTCAGTCGTCATGGCCAAAGAAGATAATCCATTAACAATTGGGAGAAATTAAAAAATAGACAGATTTAAGATTTACAGGTGGTAATTCAAAAATAGACACAATTTCAAAAGTAATCGAAATTTAGCCACTTTTTATGTAAAAATAAATTTGAACAAATACACTGTTCAAAATCCGAAAAATACTCCAGCATAAATATACTGGAACTCCAGTATATTATAATGGAGTTCCAGCATAAGTATACTGGAACTCCAGCATAATATACTAGAGTTCCAGTATAATATATCGGTCCAGCATAATATGTTGTAAGTTCATACACAAGTGCTCTAATCTCCAGTATATTATGCTGAAACTTTTCGCGTGTTGGAGTTCCAGCATAATATGCTGGAAGTTTATACACAGGTGCACTGATCTCCAGTATATTACGCTGGATCGGTCCCTGTTGCAGCAAAATAATGGCTATTTTTCATTGACTTTGCAAATGTTGGCTATTTTTGAATGACTAGTCCGAAAACTAGCTAGCCCGTACTATTTTTACTTAGTAGTTTCATTTGAAGTGGGTGAAGTGCACAAAATAGCCGGGTGAAATTCAAAAATAGCTAGATTTACAACTGGTCGTTCAAAAATAGTCCAGTTTCAAAAGTAATCGAAATTTAGCTACTTTTCATGTAAGGATAAATTTGAGCGAAAACAATGTTCAAAACCCGGAAAATATGTCAGTATATTATGTTGGAGTTCCAGCATAACTATACTTGAACTCCAACATATTATACTGGAGTTCCAAGATAAGTATGTTGGAACTCCAGCATAATATGATGGAGTTCCATCATAAGTACACTAGAACTCCAGCATAATATACTGGAGTTCCAGCAAGTATACCGGTCCAGCATAATATACTGGAGTTTGGAGCAACGATGCTCCAGTTTCCAGTATATTATACTGGAGCCAGCAAAGTATATCGGTCCAGCATAATATGCTAGAGTTCATACACAGGTGCACCGAACTTCAGTATATTTTGCTGGATCGGTTTCTGCTGCAGCAAAATAGTGGCTATTTTTCATTGACTTGGTAAACGCTGACTATTTTTGAATAACCAGTCCGAAAACTGGCTATACCGTGTTATTTTTACAAAATAGCCTTCTTAGGACCCTATTTAATGAATAGCCGAAATTTACAAAGTTTTTAAAGTTTAGCCGCCAATAATCAACTTAAAACATGCACTTTTGGAGTAGGAAATGACGAATTTGGAGTTTTCAAGTTCAAAGCTGTAAACCGAGGTTTAAAGTTAGGATTTGATAATGTCCAACTTCAAACTCCAAGGTATGAAAAAGAAGAAGCAACAATAACAATAAGAGGAGGTTAAGTTTGAAGATTTTGAAGTTTGCAAAAATTGGCTAAATTTTAAATAATTATTAAAATTAAATATATTTTAAATAGAGGTGTGGTAAACGAATACCTATAAGAAAATGGCATAAATAGGACAACATAAGGGGTGTTTTTAACTTTTGACCTTCTAGGCATGTCACCTAACCAATGGGCAAAGCTACAAAGGTTAAAACTTTTGCTTTGGTGCAAAATTTGTTGAAATTAAAGTTTTATCAATTGGTTAAGTGAACTACCCCAAAGGTTAAAAGTTCAAGACCAGCTCCTTTCAAGGTATTTGTGAACTTAACTAGGTACCTAGTGTCATTTCTTCATTTAAAGTTGGCGGGTCAAGAGACTCGAACCAATCACAATTTGGGCCCAATAAACAATCTAGACATTCGTTGTATATCCAATAGTATTTGGGCCTAGTGAATGCTAATGAATCGGTCTGTAAGAGAAATTCTAAGGCAAAAATCTCAAGTGTTAAGAACTATTGCTGGCTACATTTAGTCGGAGCTGGTTATAATCCTGTATACTAATCAAATTTGAAAGAAGTAACGTCGCTGTTATGGATAAACTTGATCCAACAAGGAGCTAAATCTACATCCGACTTGCCCTGTGGTGCACTTGGAGCAAGTTATATACGGTCAAAATCAAGGAGTCCAATTTCGAAGTCTTAAATTGGGCTATAAGTCCGAGTCCGGGCGACTCGAAGTGAGGGTCGGATCCGGCTAAAGGACACACACCTCGAGGGAGCAGATTGAAGGTCTGGCACGACCTACATCGAGGACAGTACAATCTCGAAGACACTCAAGAAAGAGTGAAAAATTTTCAAGGACACGTTGGTCAGGGCATAAATTAAAGGATAAGATTTGTACGAAATGGTACAGGTCCATACTAGGTTATTATACACCTGTACCAATAGAATTCTTTACCACAATTAGGAATGTACTATATTGGAATTTTCTCCTCCTATATAAAAGGGACCCCAATCATTTGTAAAGGACATATTATTCACTACAATAGAATATTCTACTCTACTTTTCTTGTTTACCGTGCTCAACAATTGTTCTTCAGCTTTATTATTTTTACTTTATTGTTCATACTTCATTGCTCTTAGCTCACCTCGAGGCTCCCAAGAAAATCAAGCTCAAGGTCCTTATTGCTCTAGCAACACTAGTTTGGTTTATCAATTCTTCTTACTTAAACCTAATATTACTTGTATATTCACTAGTATTAGAATAAATCACATATCTTTAAAACCACAAATCATATTTAATTGTCACTCACTTTTTTCGAGGTAAACAGTTTGGCGCCCATCGTGGGGATAAAGATAATAGTGATTATTTTAGTGCTAGTTTTCTGATAACACACGTTATTCTTCATCCTTTTTCTTGTCAAAGATTCTTTGATTTCAGGCTAAAATATGTCTAGCACACAAAACGCACATGCTCATGACAATGAGGGATTCGGAGAAAATAGCGGTATAGGGGTTAGTGCACTACCCATAAACTCTAAGGGAGTGCCAAATATGGAGCCAGTTGATATCAGTTCACATAACGCTCTAAACACGGACGTAGGCACAGACCCCTTAAGGAATGCACATAGGGAAGCCCAAGCCGGAGGCCAGGAAACACGAGGAATGGAAGAAGGAGGAGTCAGCCTCCAGGTGATATTTGAAATGTTGCAAGCCCCGCAAATCGTCATTACTCAGCTTCAGAGTCAGAATTGAACTCCCAACACAGCCGAACCAGTGAACACTCGGCGTGCTGAACCAACGATAGAGAGGCCCGATAAAAATTGCTCAGGGACTGACCCTGCTATTATGAAAATGCTCGAAGAGATCGCCAAAAGGATAGAGACTGGAGAAAAGAAAATTGACGAAAATAAGAAAAAGGTAAAGACATACAACTCGAGGGTCGACTAGATACTGGGAGCACCTCCGATTTTGAAAGGACTGGACTCGAAGAAGTTCGTGCAAAAATCATTCCCTAAGAGTGCGGCTCCAAATCCCATGCCGAAGAAATTTTGGATGCCAGATATCCTGAAATACAACAGAACCACTGATCCCAACGAGTACATTACCACATACACTTGTGGCATAAAAGGAAATGATTTGGAATACGATGAGATTGAATCTATTTTGATAAAAATGTTTGGCGAAACTCTGTCAAAAGGTGCCATGATTTGGTACCATAACCTACCCTCGAACTCTATCGATTCATTTGCCATGTCGGTAGACTCATTTGTGAAGGCACATGCCAGTGCCATAAAAGTTGCAACAAAGAAGTTCGATGTATTCAAAATAAAGAAAAAGTAGAACGAGATGTTGAGGGAGTTTGTGTCCCGTTTCCAATTAGAACGAATAGAGCTACCACCAATCTCCGATGACTGTGCCGTATAAGCCTTCACTCAGGAGATAAATGAACAAAATTCGATAGCTTCAAAGCAGCTGAATCAGAACTTGATTGAGTATCCTGTTGTGACTTGGGCGGTGTGCACAACATGTACCAATAAAAAATTAGGGTCGAGGATAACCAGTTGGGAGCCCCCTCGGGCTTAGTTTATCCAAATAGGTTACTAGCAAGGGAGTCGGGAAATGCAGACAGGGGGTCAAGATCCAATAAGGAAAAATATCAGCCATACGTCGAGGATCGAAGGAACATTTCAAGGCATAACATACCTCGGAATGATCGAAGAGCAAATCGAGGTCAAAGTTCTCAGGGACTCACAAGCAAAACTGGGTTCGATAGGCACTCGGGACTGGCAGAGGCATCCTGATTATTAGAGTACAACTTCAGTATCGATGCCTCAAGGATCATCTCGGCCATTGGCAAAATCAAATATACTAAGTAGCCCAGGACAATAAAGACTGATCCCTCCCAAAGGAACCCGAACTTGATGTGCATGTATCATGGCACACATGGTCATAAGACGGAGGATTACATGCAGCTAAGGGAAGAAGTGGCTAGGTTATTCAATGAGGGCCACCTTCGGGAATTCCTAAGTGAGCGGGCTAAGAGTTAAAGATGTAGGCAGGAAGAATGAACCTGAAGAACCTCAGCATGTCATTCATATGATTATTGGTGGAGTGGACGTCCCATAGGGACCTATATTCAAATGTACCAAAGTGTCCATCATAAGGGAGAAACGGACTATGGATTACATGCTCGAGGACACCCTCACATTCAGCAAAGAAGACATCGAGGCCTTATCTCAGCCTCACAATGATGAACTGGTAATTTCTATATTTTTAAATAAAATTCAAGTTAAACGTGTTCTCATGGATCCAGGTAGCTCGGCAAATATAATCAGATCAAGGGTCGTGGAGTAGCTCGGGCTGCTTGACCAAATCATACATGCCTCTCGAGTCTTGAATGGATTCAACATGGCGAGTGAAACAACGAAGGGGGGAAATCATCCTCCCAGTCAACGTGGCTGGAACCATACAAAACACCAAGTTCCATGTCATCGAAGGAGATATGAGGTATAATTCTTTACTTGGAAGACCATGGATCTATAACATGAGGGCAGTGCCATCAACCCTTCATCAAATGATGAAGTTCCCAACAAAAGATGACGTCAAAACAGTATATGGAGAGCAACATGCAGCTAAGGAGATGTTTGCAGTGCACGACCTGGCACCGGTATCGACACCATCTACATCAGAGAAG